CACCCCTACCCTCATGAAATGGTTGTCTCATACATTGTAGGGTAATCACTGTTTTTTTTTGGTGACTTTAGACCTAGGGCTAGGCATTAGTGGCGTTGTGTCGGGGAAATCGTATATTAGTCAATTTTTTTATCGATTCTAAGTATGTCAATCAATCTGTTAATGGTTTGAAACAGTTAACACCTAATTAATATTGTTAACTTCACACCAATTTTATGTCAGGTTCGTGAATGATATTAATTCGTATCAATTCTACCTAGATCAAAATGAGGAGTTTTATCCATCAAAAAAGAATAGGGAGCACAGCTCAATTTACTAGGTCAATTGGTGGAGAAAAAAATAAAGTCATGTCCCAGGGAAATGTGCCCTCAGATTCATACAATGCATCGCATATGGAGAGAGGAGAGGTTTTCTCAGCTTATTTTATCTTAAAAATTTGTTGATTGGGTGAAATGGATTGGGAATGCAGAATTAATCATGAAGTGATAGGATTCTGATTCCTTTCTGGGAGTCAGTAGTTGGACCACTTTGAAGACTGTCCTTTCCTGTGAGCCAATGTAATATGAGGTGTTTTTGTGTGTGTGTTTTCCTCTCCCACAGCAGAAACTAGAAGGTCACGTTAAATGAGTTCTCCGCGCTTGCTATATATACTATAAATAGAGGGCTAATAATTGAGTCGAGTTATTCGACTTAGCTTAGATAACAATTGATTCAAGTTTGACTCGTATTTTAAAATAAATGAACATAACTTGAACAATACATAGATGGTATAGTGTTAAACCCAAACAAGAATCAGAATCTCACAATTATCCAAAAGTTAAAGCACTTTATCACCTAACATGCACTAAGGCACATGACATCTTCAAATAAAAATGCATGAACAAGGAAATTGCACATGAGTGAAATCCATTAACATGCCTTTGGGTTAGATCTTGCTCGTTTTATCACATGAATTCTCATTAACATTTGTATTTGTCTTCTTTTTTTTTTGTTGGGGTGGGAATGGGGGGATGAATCAACCTTGACCCTTAGGCTTAATCTTAGTACTAATATAGCATAGGCTTAAAACATTCTCTTAACTTAACACCAATGATAATACTAACTTAGGGCCTATAATCTCTAGCCCTATAGTACTTATCTGGCTGTGTCTTTTTTTATGATCCATCTAGTCAATATGATTCAATGGGTTGAAGTGATTATTTTGAAACTCACCCAAACTAGGTATCAGCAAGCAATTGGCAGGCACCAATGTTCTTTTCAATTTTAAAATTAGATTAATATTATTTGAATTTTATTTTATTGATTAAATTTAATATTGCGATTTGAATTCGATATTGAACGAGTTCACTATCTTTTTTATATTGATAGGTAAATAAGTACTTTGACTATAATAAATTGACTCAATTAAGATCATTGTTGCAACCCAATACCAGGATTGAATCATTGAACTCACACTTCTCTTTTCCCAATACTTTATGGGGGAACACTATCCTGTGCATGATAATAACTATACGTTTATGATGAAAGTGAGAGGAAAACTGTAAATCTGCCACTTCTGTGCAAGAAAGTTGTAGCGACACACTCAAAACTTAAGTTTGCTTAGAATGAAAGCAAAGCAATTCAATTTTTCAGAGGGTCACAAGGTTCTCTCTCCGTTCTTAAATATATGTCGTTTTACATAATTTTTTTTTGTTTCATAATATCTGTCATTTAATGAAATCAAATCATAATTAATATTTTTTCTTCCAAATTTACTCTTAATTTTTCAATACATTAGATGAGGTGGAGGTTAAGTGTCTTTCATATTCATTTCCTTCCCAATACATATTGAATAAATGTATTTTAGTCTTATGTAATTATTTTTTACTCATATTATAACTATTTAATAATTTTCTTAATTCTTGTAAAAAAATTTTAAACGACAGATATTTAAGAACGGAGAAAGTATTGTTACGACGGTCCATTCTGCTGAGAGAGAGGGTTTGGCTTTGGCATATATATTATATATCGGGGTCCTAGAACTGCGATTAGGGTAACTTTCNTGCTGAGAGAGAGGGTTTGGCTTTGGCATATATATTATATATCGGGGTCCTAGAACTGCGATTAGGGTAACTTTCATGGCCCAAAGAGGACAAAGTGAAAGTGATGGTAAAAGTGATGCTTAACGGCCTTTTAGGTTTTTTTTTTTTTAAATATTTATTTCAATAAATGAAGGGTTTTGGTTCCCACTTTGCTTGGGAAGCGTAGCCAGCTGCCAAAAGCAATGGGCTTCTCATCGATGCATGCTCACTTCACATGGCCCCCTCTCCCTCTCTCTCCTCTCATCCATGCATGCTCGCTTCACGTGGCCTCTCTCTCTCTCTCTCTCTCTCTCTCTCAAGTCTCAAACAAAGAAAAGGAACAAATGCTAAAATAATTGTGAATGCAATGATATATTTACAACCCAGTTGCAATATTTAAGTTCTCTATGAAGTATATAATTGTCACGTTCAAATGTCAANAATGATATATTTACAACCAAGTTGCAATATTTAAGTTCTCTATGAAGTATATAATTGTCACGTTCAAATGTCAATGCACTTTGCAGAGCAGTATGCATTATACAAAAATACAATAACGATCGACTCGAGTTTTGACTGCTAATTTTTAACTATTTGCTGAGGTTTACATGACATCATTGTGGTTTATGTATTCATTAAACTAGGTTGTTGTCAGTGGGGACTTTAGTTACTTAGTATATTAAACAAAATACATTACCTAGTCTTAACCTTAAAAGCCGGCCTAGGTTTTCATTCCTTTTTGTCCTTTTATTTTTTTTNGTCAGTGGGGACTTTAGTTACTTAGTATATTAAACAAAATACATTACCTAGTCTTAACCTTAAAAGCCGGCCTAGGTTTTCATTCCTTTTTGTCCTTTTATTTTTTTTCATTAACCCAATGCACTGCATACCTTTTTTGGGGTGTGCATGCTTTTTTTTTTTTTTTTGTTACCATTCAATGTTAAATAAACAAGTGAATAAGGTGATCTTATTTTTTTTTACGTGCAGGTGTAGTTATTTGAATGATTGGAGTCCTCTTTTTCTATTTGGTTTATTATTATTAGACGATTGTACTAAATGATAATACTGAATTTGTAACTATTACACCCAATATTTATCTGAAATCTAGAAGGTCATTATTTAGGACATGTTTGGTATGTGGGTTTGGAGGAGTTTTGGATCCTAGGTTAGGGATTAAACTATCTTAAACCCATGTTTGACAACTATGCATTTAATCTAGGGTTTGAAATCTGGTCCGGTCATGAAACCCACATACTTGGGTTTCATGAAACTCAAGGAGGGTGGGTTTCATATATAACATGCAAATAACATTTATACTCTCATATATCTTATATACTACATATAAACAAATTAGTTAAGAGGCATAATAGTTATTTATATATAAATATATTATCATAATAGTCATATATTCTTACGCATACCAAACATAGGTATGAAAAACATTGAATGTTGAATCTTATCTTTGAATTTCATCTTTGGATCAAACCCAGGTTTAAACAAGTCAATCTAAATTCCTCCCAAAAATCATACCAAATAGGCCATTAATGTCTTGTAAAGACTCCGCAAAANTTTAAACAAGTCAATCTAAATTCCTCCCAAAAATCATACCAAATAGGCCATTAATGTCTTGTAAAGACTCCGCAAAAACCTCCAATTCACAGGATGGCCCAGAAGTCCAGTGGCCCATAGGTAATGGTTTTACGTGCCAGGCCATCCAAAGATTTCACGAATGACCTTTTAGCCCGAGGGGTCAGGACATGGGCTAAGTTTTGGTCTACCCAATCCAACTGGTTGGACCAGTATTGACAGGGAAGGCTGATTTTCTCATGCCAAATGTACTTCATGGTCAGTCCACGGGTATGTTGACCCGATTTGATGCTGACCCAAATGTCCAGTGTGATTCCGAAAAAACCCTCTTCTGTAGTACAAAACCTAATCTTTGGAATTGTGTGATGATATTTCACCACGTTCTATAAAACAATTGCTCATCTACTCTGCTATGATCACCCCAGTACACAAAAACAACAGCTAAATTCACAATAATAAACTAGTTACTACTCCAAAGTTCAGTACACTGAAGTCATTTTCCTTCTCAAAGGCACCAGCGTATGCCTCTTTTGAGTACAAATGAATTCAATTCCAAAGATCAAACTTGCACCCCTCCCTCCCACATTGGTTCCCTCTACATAGTCATCCAAGCCATCTGAACTCACCCCGATTTTCGACACAATCATTGGAAATTATTCAAAGCTGATCCCCATCACCAGACAGTGCATAGGCCTGCTCTCCGTGTACAGCGGCGTTCCCTTATGTGAGCTTAACTGTACTAGTCACCACGCACATGCCAATGTCCGCCTCGCCTCTTTCTATTCCATGGCCATGGATGGACTTGTTAGCCCCATGGTTCACTTGGCCATGGCTTTGACCATGTGGTGGTCTATGCGTAGTACAAGAATATAACGGTTAAGGCCATGGCCCTTTTTTGAGCCACTTGGTCCACAAATGCAAGCTATCCGGAAAAAATTATGGCCCACTTATACTGGTCCGATAGACAGCCCAATAAACCATTAAGACTATGCCGATAGATAGTCCATGGGCCGATGGCATTATGGATAGCCCATGGACCGATGGCATGACCCACAGCCAAGGTAGTGGTTGAATATATTTGTCAATTTACTGCAGTTGCAGGGTACTTCAGGAAATCAAATACCCGGAGGTTGTGACCAATAGACCAAATAATCAAGATTCCAAATAACATCACAGCATACTTGATCTTTTTTTTATGTGTTTTAATGTTATTTTGGCCTCAATAAACACTCCAAATATCCGTTCCGTTACCATCAACCACAAGATTTTTCGAATGNTATGTGTTGTAATGTTATTTTGGCCTCAATAATAAACACTCCAAATATCCGTTCCGTTACCATCAACCACAAGATTTTTCGAATGGAGCCAACCAGTCAACACCACGTTGCCTTTTCTCCAGACACCCAAAAAATAGCAAAACAAAATACCTCTGGTGCTCCTTCCCCCCTTCCTCTCTCTCTCTCCCCCCCCCGGGGGGCCACTCTCAAGTATGTGTTTGTTCCGTTTGTTGAGTAACTTCAGAGTTATTATGCCAATTCGGTAGATAGGTGAAGCCCCTTCTCTTGCCTTCTCGGCTTTTTACAAACCCACATGCACTTACTGCGCATTATCCTCACGGAAGAACAAGAAGTAGGTTTTACAAGCAAACACTGCTAGATTCTGGTTGTGGGTTTTGCTTATAAGCTCCAAATCAGTGAATTTAGGTTAGAATTTGTATTTTACATTTGTGGGTTTTTGTTATCTGATAACTTCATGGCTTCTTCAATGCTCAATGGTGCTGAAAATCTGACACTCATTAGACGAATTACCCCACATGGGTTAGGTTCTATTAAATCAGATTTGCATGGAAAGCAGTTTCCCAGGTTGAATTTGGTCTCTTGTGGTCAAAATTTGAACGCTAGAACTCAAGCACCAAGGTGCAGTCTCTCAGCATCTGGGCCAGCTTCACAACTCAGATTTATCCAGCACAAAAAGGAGGCATTTTGGTTCTACAGGTTCCTATCAATTGTGTATGACCATGTTATAAACCCTGGTCATTGGACTGAGGATATGAGAGATGAGGCACTTGAGCCAGCTGACCTAAGTGATAGGAAAATGTTAGTGGTTGATGTTGGTGGAGGGACAGGGTTCACCACTTTGGGCATAGTCAAACATGTTGATGCCAAGAATGTCACCATTCTTGACCAGTCCCCTCATCAGCTTGCCAAGGCAAAGCAAAAAGAGCCATTAAAGGAATGTAAGATAATTGAGGGTGATGCGGAGGATCTTCCTTTCAGAACTGATTACGCAGATAGATACATATCTGCCGGAAGGTATATTGCTCATTTGTTTTTTTTTTTTTCTGCTTTCATTTTCTTTATATATCAACATTCCTCAATATAATTTTATTATTCTGATTGTTGTTTTTTATGGTCTGATGGTCAAACTTTTTACAAATTTTTGCTGGATACTTTTGTGGGATATGAATTTNTGTTTTTTTTTTCTGCTTTCATTTTCTTTATATATCAACATTCCTCAATATAATTTTATTATTCTGATTGTTGTTTTTTATGGCCTGATGGTCAAACTTTTTACAAATTTTTGCTGGATACTTTTGTGGGATATGAATTTATATCCTTATCTTTAGCTACATTTTATTTATACTGATTTTGTTTAAGTGTACTTTTATGTTTGTGGGCAAAGACTAATGGGACTGTAGTGGGGTTAATTGACCCCTGCTGAAATTCGAAAAAAGGGTTCTATTCAACACCTATTGAAATTAACAGGTTCTTGTAATAGTTTATGCCTCTTGAATGTATTCTGGATATGCAACGAAAGTATAATTCTCCTTTATGTTGGGTTCTTACCTTCACCCACTTATCCATCCCAATACTAAAACCTTGTGTTAAATTTTTAGAGAAAGGAAAATCCCTCAATGTATGAAAATGAACCTTTTGGAGAAGGATTATTAATCAATGTGAGTTTTCTTCATCTTCAACTTGGAAAGCTTTATGGGAATTCTGTCTTTTTTTGTTTCCATATCGATTGATATGGGGGATAACAAAATAAAGTTTTCTGGATTATTGCTTAGTATCAGTTTAAAATAATTTATTAGTTGTTGACTGACTCCATTCTATAATTATTGTGGCACTGCTTTTGTGCATGTATAATCACTCAGTGGCTTGATTAAGATTCCTTTGGGGTTAAATCAGGACAGAACTTCATGCCAGTTTCATGGCATATGTGAAGTAACTTTTTGATGCACCGTTGAATATGTGAGGATCAGGTATCGTAATAAAGATTTTTTAGCATTTTTATGAATTCCTCATTCAAAATCTAGTGCATACAAGACAGCATATAGAAGCAACTTTGGGATTTCTTGCATATTTGTTTGAATGGGTTATAGAAATACACACTGTGATTTACTACCAATTGAAGACCTAAAAAGACCTTTGTTGTTTGTGTATCTCATGGGAATTATATGGCTATATCTTCTCAGTATCGAGTACTGGCCAGACCCGCAACGTGGCATCAAGGAAGCATACAGGGTTTTGAAGCTAGGAGGAAAGGCATGCGTAATTGGTCCTGTGTACCCGACATTTTGGTTGTCTCAGTTTTTCGCAGATGTGTGGATGCTCTTCCCAAAGGAGGAAGAATACATTGAGTGGTTTGAAAAGGCTGGATTTAAGGATATCAAACTAAAGAGGATTGGCCCAAAATGGTATCGTGGAGTTCGTCGACATGGGCTAATCATGGGATGTTCTGTAACTGGAGTGAAGCCTGCATCCGGGGATTCTCCTTTGCAGGTAATCATCTCATGTTTGTTCCATAACTCACCCAACAGAATGCACAGTGTTATACACCTTTGTGCAAGTGCAAGTCACTTTTTTGTGTTTTGCTCTTCGGGTCAACTTATCTTCATTACTGTTCCATTTAATCAACATGAAGACATTCTATTTTTCACTCCATTGGGTGACACTGCTTAGATATACACAGACATACACAAAAATTTCAGTGGTATATCTGATAACATAACAATGGCTCTGCACTTACAAATGAACTTCTATAATGTTGATGGCTTGAGTTGGGCTCTAAGTGTTATTGTTCAGCAATTCTATACATTGAAATGGACTTTATTATGAGGTTGCATCTGCTTTTGTAAGTTAANTACAAATGAACTTCTATAATGTTGATGGCTTGAGTTGGGCTCTAAGTGTTATTGTTCAGCTATTCTATACATTGAAATGGACTTTATTATGAGGTTGCATCTGCTTTTGTAAGTTAATGAGTTTTTATGTCCTGGCACTGGTCTGGTTCCTGCATATTGGAGAAAAAACCTTAGGAAAAAAATAATGGAATTGGACTTTAGAATCAATTTTGAAGCCAATCAGGCTTCCTGTTGTGGGAGAATTCAGTTTAACTGTGAAATGTGTTGTTTGCAATTGGAGCTCTATTCCCACATCACTGCCACACTATAGCACTGGCATGGCTGCTCCCACTGCCATCAATACTGTAATGCTAGCAAAATTTACATTCGGGACTAAAATATTGTACTTCAAATAATTTCAAGGTTGTAAATTTGTTGGCGATCTAAAGAATTGAACCCCTATAGAAAAATATGCCCTTTTTATTTAGGTCTGAAAAGCTGCCTAGGATTTATTTAGTGGTCAGGAATCAGAACTTTGTTGATTTGAGCTGCAGCCTATATGCTACAAAAACCCAGGCAACATAATCTCTGAATCATCTAGCATTATTGTTTATGTTTCAATCCTTTTTATGGTTTAATGCGAGGGTATTCCTGCATGTGGCTGTGGTATTTGGGGGAAAATGTTGGCTGTCCGCAATGTTATTGTCTGTATCAGCATTACAAACATAATATTAGTTTTATTTTTCATATTATTGGATTTACATTGTTTATTTTTACTGCAGCTTGGTCCAAAGGCAGAAGATGTTACAAAACCTGTAAATCCATTTGTGTTCTTTCTACGCTTCATTCTGGGTGCCATGGCAGCAACATACTTTGTTCTGATTCCAATTTACATGTGGCTCAAAGATCAGATAGTTCCCAAGGGAAGACCAATATGAGAGAGAGAGAGAGAGAGAGAGAGAGAGAGCAGATACTTCCGGTTTGTATGAATCTGTTTTCTGTTAGAAACTTGACAATTTTCTGTGTTGCCTGTTTTAATTCTCTAGCTTCCGCATTCTATTCAGGTATCTGATCAACTTTACTATCAAGATCTAAGTCCACTGTTACGTGCTTTAGACAGATAATAACACCACTGAGTTTTACTAAAATGTTTAAATGGGGAGTTAGCCGCACCCACAAATGACTTGTCCACCATCGCCTTGCAATCTGATCCCCTCCACTTTCTTTAAAACAGGTATGGATTCCGCTTTGATTCTCTAAAGCAGGGAATGACTACTTGATTAGTGGAATAGCGCTCAATTAGCCTGTCTAATCTTTCCTTTCTTAAGTAGACTTGATTGACTACACTCAAACTCTCGACTATGCAACATGGCCAATAACCGTGAAAATAAACGAAGACACATCACATCAGGTCATTTTTATCCCGAAATAATGAATTGAGTTCGTATAGGCATTTTGGACGCTGCTATCTCCATGGGAGCCTTGCCCTCTCTCTTCACATGGTCAGTAAGTGGATTCGTGAAGTCAAGTTCTTTGAGTTGAATAGACGATGACTGGATTGGAGAGCGGGTACCAATATTGCGGATTGATGTATTTCAGTTAAAATACCTAAAGCCTTATTGTTTTTAGGATCTGGATCCGTTATTCATTCAATGGAAACTCTTGTTGGTTTTTTTGAAGTCCAAAAAAAAAAGTGCAAACGTCCATTGTTTGAACTTCATGAATCAAAATTTTCAGTCAACTGTCCAAGGCTCCCTGTTCTGGTTGGTGCTGGATACTCGTTTCCGTTATTCATTTGTTTGGCTTATTGCTCGTTGTCGAGGCCACCTGTAAAATTTTATTGTCTTAAAGATAATTGACATTAGAAATTTTGAGAACATCGAGTACCTCCTCTACATTCAAATGCAGTGAATGAAGAACTAAACAGGTGCACAATATCAGAGGGTTATATGAAGTCTACAATCCCTGGCATTAGAGGTAATAACATTACTAAAGAATGCAACATAGACAACTCCAACGGTTGTCCTAATGCCCCAATGAATGCATCAAGGCACTCGCCAGAAAGCACATACACAACAGTACAAAGTCAGCCTTCTCCATCAGGACTTATTGACTGTAATCTGCATTTACTATATGAAGCCGAAGCCCTAGATTCGGATTAAGGTTTCAGCAATGGAACCAGCTTGTACAGTTGCGTAGCAATCAATAACATTAGCTCAAATAGCCATGACGTAAAGTTAAACCAGGGTTCCATTACCAGCAAGCAGCAAGTTCACTTGTAACATATAAATATTATCACTAAATTCAATGACAGAAATTTCCTGAAGGATGCAAAAGTGCCTATCGATCAAAAACACAATCAAACTAATCAAGTTACAATCCTATAAATCAAGATCAAACCAATGGACAGGCTTTTCTATTGCAAATAAAGCTCATTCTGCACAACTGGAGACAGTAGAGTCAGCAAGCATATCGTAGTACCTCTCCATGGTTGGACCAAAACTTGAAACTAGTTCGTCCCATTTTCAGGACTGACATCTCCGTATGAAACCAGACCCCTTTGTCCATCTGGGGAGCTGGATCTTGACGTGCTGGAAGACAGAGATGCAGCTTTTCCAGGACGCTTTCTTGGAGTGGCATTAGGAGATCTAGAACGTGATGAACCATGGCTCCTAGATCTTGAAGTCAACCTCTCTCTGTTAGGAGAAGGCTGATCATCACCTCGAGGCCCAAGACGAGATCTTAATTTATCACTCATTACAGGCCGGGTATCTACAGGGCTAGAACTGCGTACAGGACTCCGGCTGCGATCCCTGCCACGACCACGGTAAGCACCTGGGCTACGAGAAATACTCCTACTTTGACTCCTGCGTCTATATCTACACGAGAGGGGAACAATGATAAACAAATCAGTTTGTTGGGGAAAAAATCATCAACAAAGCCAGAAAAACAATGGTACTGGATATCTGATTTCAAAAATTATTATGTGAGATCAGCTTCTGTATTCATACACAAAAATGCCATTTTTTCAAACCAAGAAAAAATTTGTAAAATTTTCAAGACCATTCAGGTTTTACAATCTGTTTCCAAATTTGGCAGTTTAACCATCCGGTCCAATCTTCAAACCAATAACATGACACAACTATATAAATCCCACCATAAGACAGGAAGTTGGTAAACTGTGAATAGAAGAAGTNGTTTTTTTGAAGTCCAAAAAAAAAAGTGCAAACGTCCATTGTTTGAACTTCATGAATCAAAATTTTCAGTCAACTGTCCAAGGCTCCCTGTTCTGGTTGGTGCTGGATACTCGTTTCCGTTATTCATTTGTTTGGCTTATTGCTCGTTGTCGAGGCCACCTGTAAAATTTTATTGTCTTAAAGATAATTGACATTAGAAATTTTGAGAACATCGAGTACCTCCTCTACATTCAAATGCAGTGAATGAAGAACTAAACAGGTGCACAATATCAGAGGGTTATATGAAGTCTACAATCCCTGGCATTAGAGGTAATAACATTACTAAAGAATGCAACATAGACAACTCCAACGGTTGTCCTAATGCCCCAATGAATGCATCAAGGCACTCGCCAGAAAGCACATACACAACAGTACAAAGTCAGCCTTCTCCATCAGGACTTATTGACTGTAATCTGCATTTACTATATGAAGCCGAAGCCCTAGATTCGGATTAAGGTTTCAGCAATGGAACCAGCTTGTACAGTTGCGTAGCAATCAATAACATTAGCTCAAATAGCCATGACGTAAAGTTAAACCAGGGTTCCATTACCAGCAAGCAGCAAGTTCACTTGTAACATATAAATATTATCACTAAATTCAATGACAGAAATTTCCTGAAGGATGCAAAAGTGCCTATCGATCAAAAACACAATCAAACTAATCAAGTTACAATCCTATAAATCAAGATCAAACCAATGGACAGGCTTTTCTATTGCAAATAAAGCTCATTCTGCACAACTGGAGACAGTAGAGTCAGCAAGCATATCGTAGTACCTCTCCATGGTTGGACCAAAACTTGAAACTAGTTCGTCCCATTTTCAGGACTGACATCTCCGTATGAAACCAGACCCCTTTGTCCATCTGGGGAGCTGGATCTTGACGTGCTGGAAGACAGAGATGCAGCTTTTCCAGGACGCTTTCTTGGAGTGGCATTAGGAGATCTAGAACGTGATGAACCATGGCTCCTAGATCTTGAAGTCAACCTCTCTCTGTTAGGAGAAGGCTGATCATCACCTCGAGGCCCAAGACGAGATCTTAATTTATCACTCATTACAGGCCGGGTATCTACAGGGCTAGAACTGCGTACAGGACTCCGGCTGCGATCCCTGCCACGACCACGGTAAGCACCTGGGCTACGAGAAATACTCCTACTTTGACTCCTGCGTCTATATCTACACGAGAGGGGAACAATGATAAACAAATCAGTTTGTTGGGGAAAAAATCATCAACAAAGCCAGAAAAACAATGGTACTGGATATCTGATTTCAAAAATTATTATGTGAGATCAGCTTCTGTATTCATACACAAAAATGCCATTTTTTCAAACCAAGAAAAAATTTGTAAAATTTTCAAGACCATTCAGGTTTTACAATCTGTTTCCAAATTTGGCAGTTTAACCATCCGGTCCAATCTTCAAACCAATAACATGACACAACTATATAAATCCCACCATAAGACAGGAAGTTGGTAAACTGTGAATAGAAGAAGTAACTGTTTTCCACTAAAAAAGAGAGAGAGAAGAGAGAGGAATAGGAAAAAAGAAGAGAGTGAGGGAGAGAGGGAGAGAGGACAATGATGCAGCATACCATTGCAGGGATTTTGAGGAAAAACATNGTAACTGTTTTCCACTAAAAAAGAGAGAGAGAAGAGAGAGGAATAGGAAAAAAGAAGAGAGTGAGGGAGAGAGGACAATGATGCAGCATACCATTGCAGGGATTTTGAGGAAAAACATTACTGTGTAAAATGTGAAGGAGATGCTGGTATTTAATGGTGAACAGAGAGACCAATTATCATGGGATGAACAATTGTAGAAGTTAATAGGGAAAAAAAATTCAATCCACTTATCACTGCACCTGCTTTCACAAAAACAATTCAGCAAATTAGTACCTTGCTATAAAAAATGGACATTAGGAACATTTATTGGTGCAAGAAAAGAAGTAGACAAAGAAGGAAGGGGTGCATAAGTTAAAATCAGACCTTTTGTTGTTTCCAGATTAGTTATCATTGTCATAGGCTATAGGATACAGAAAAACATAATAGATTCCACAGAGAAAGAAAGAGAGAGAGAGAACCTTGGGGGGCTCCTGCCTCTTGGTGAGCTTCTATAACGTCTTTGTGGTGAGCGCTGAGAGTAAGTTCTATAGCTTGAATACCTAAAACAAATCAGAATTTGTTCAAAGTCCATTGCAGCCCGTCCCATAAATTTCTTTAGAGCTTACCTATCATGGTTCCTTTCATAAAAGTTCCTTCCACCATAACGATATGACCTATGAGGTGAACGCTCTGGTGATGGCGTACGGTATCGCCGTGCGAAGGAAAAGCGTTCGGTGAAGCCACGCCCTTTCCTAATGCGCTTTGGAGTGCCATTTGGAGAACGACTTCTAGACAAACCCTGACCATGATTCAAAGCAGAAGCTTGAGGGGCCTTGAGTGGAGGGCTTTGCTGATCAGACTTTCTTTCTGGAGCACCACCATCATTGTGATTTCTGGGACTCCTCATAATTCTTTTAGGGCTCGGGCTTGGACTGCTCCGACGGTTGGATATCAGTCTTCCTCTGGGGGTTGGTGTCGAGCTTCTGTTCATCACAATGTGAAAGGTATTAGTTTAGCACTATTACAGCAGCATAAATACACTGGCATGCAAGATACAGTCAACATTGCATACAAAGCGACAAAGACAATGTGAGAAAAGTGAATCAAGCTAATAGTGTTAACCTGGATTTGCTCGACTTATCTGAATAATGATGCTGATTGGCTGTTTTATCAGCTTTAGCTTCAATACCATTAACATTTTTCAAAAGTTTGTTATCCTTCTTGGAAAATTCACCCTCTTCATGTGAGGAGTTACCCTCTGTCATCTTTAGCTCACGATCCTTTTGCTGTCCAGTGACAGTCTGTCCTAGAAGAGGGTTTGGAGATTTATCCGCTACATCTGTAAATTAACAGTAAGGGATGAGAAAGTGTAACAACATCAATGCTGGTAATATCTTTCACATGCAAATAACTGCCAATTAATTAAAATACCACCTAAGTCATGAAAGAAATACAAAAGCCATACAAAAGAAGTGGAAAAGTCGATACCAAGACTCTGACGTAGCTTCTTAGTTTGAACATTTGATGAGTTGCTGATTTTATGGGCAGCTTTACGACTGGCTTTCTCATCATCAGAGCTGCTGCTGCTGTTGCTACTGGCTCCACTCTCTGTGCCACTGGAACTCCCTGAACTCCTGAAAATAATACAAAATATGATACAAGCCAGAACTTAAGCAAGACCAAAAGGAGGGAAAATAATGTGAAAATGCTGCTAATAACATAACTTAAAACCATACAATTTAGACTTGNACAAGCCAGAACTTAAGCAAGACCAAAAGGAGGTTAAATAATGTGAAAATGCTGCTAATAACATAACTTAAAACCATACAATTTAGACTTGCGCCTTGATTTTTTATCGCGCTCGCTTCTTGTCCTCCCCTTTCGTCCGCCCCTTCTTTTCTTTCCATGTTGGTGCCTCTCTCTCTTCATTGATCTCCTTTTCTTCCGACGCCTTCCATCACTGGAAGAACTTGAAGAATAGGAATCTGACTCAGAATCCAAATCAGAGTCTGAATAGGAATCAGTGTCCGAAGAATAGGAATCAGAGTCTGTGTCAGAGCTGTACGAATCAGATGAAGAGTATCTCCGTTTTCTCTTCTTCCTTCTGTCCTTGAGAGATATTTTGCGTCTTCCTTTTGTTTTCTCATCGGGATCATCATCAGAGGAAAGACATTTCCCTGATTTTTTCTTTTTCCCTGAATGGGAAGGCATCATAAAGCATAACTACCAAAAAAAGATACATGATCCACCACCAAGCTTCCACAGGATGAGTTTGTAGATCATAACAGAAAGACAAAAATACCTTTCTCTGCTACAGCCGCATCATGAATTTTACTTTCAGATGTTTCACCACAATCTACAATTTTTACAATAGCAGAAGGTTTCCCATCAGCAGTTCCCAACTGTTCAATTTTCCTTACAACATCCATTCCTTTCACAACCTGTCCAAAAACAACATGTTTCCTGCCATACAATCAACAAGTACATGATTAATATAATTCACTATCAAAATCCAATTGTCCTCTGAAGACTTAAGAGTCTCAATAGTAGGAAAATTCCATCAGATAAGGTCATATGGGGATAGGAGATAGATATTAAGTAAAAATTCAGGCAAACTGAAANAGGTAAGGTCATATGGGGATAGGAGATAGATATTAAGTAAAAATTCAGGCAAACTGAAACCACATACAGCACAGACAAGAGATGAAATACCCGTCAAGATGAGGTTGACGCTTGAAGATTATAAAGAACTGGGACCCATTTGTGTTTGGACCACCATTTGCCATAGAGAGAAGACCAGGCATAGTATGATCCAGTTTAAAGTTCTCATCTGCAAGAGAACAGAAAATATTATGAGTGATCATACAAGAAGCACACCAAACACGCAAAGATGAGCTGAAATATAAACAAAAACCAACCTGCAAACTTCCCCCCATAAATACTTTCTCCACCAGTGCCTGCAAACCATTAAAAGGTTGTGCCTTACAAGTCTGACAGGAAGATGGAAGTTAAATAGAGCATCTGAATTAATGGAAAGAAAAAGATCTGGGAAAAAAACAGCATACCATTTCCTTTAGAAAAATCACCACCCTGCAAGAGAGAAAAATGTGATCAAATGATAAGTCACCAGACCATTATATATTTCAGAGGAGGGGGACCAAACATAAAATCTTTAGCAGTTCAGAGATTAAAAGAGAATCACAATCAGATCTACCTATATATACCGTAACGGTATTTAATTATGAAGGTTAGCTGGGTAGCTGACCTTGTTAGTTTGTTCTTGGCAAGAGGGGAGAGCCTAATCCTTTTGTTTTTAAAATCAGATTTCCTCTGCTTAATGGATAACTATTTGTTATCAATGGAGAAAACAGACTTTTCAAGTACTTAAATATTATTTAATGGATGAAAATGGAAAATTTCTTTCTTCCCTGATGAACACATGTACACATACTCGATAACAGACTTAAGGCATAACAAAATTAAGAGACGACACCTTAGGATGCAGCACTCTGATGGATTAATATTCTTGGAGATACACACACTTTCCTGCTCTAACACGGATAGAAGATACACATTGCATTATTTAAATACTTTTTCCAAGGATTTGACTTTCCTTTGTGTTTATGGAGGAGCACTATTTAATAACTCTAGAGCATGCTTAATTTCAACATACCAATAACAATGAAAATACTTGAAGTCCAATCAGCAAGCGACCTGTCAATTACCAAATGGCAAAGACATGACACCATCATAAACCTTTCCAACTTCATCCCCAACAACTAATCAGTCATTTGTCCACATTGTTCATCAAGTAATACTTCGCAATACAAATATCAGGATGATGGTATCTTACATGCCAGACTTTATACAAATCCAAAAGAGCACAGTAGGTAGACTGTCTGAATATTAAAACCATAACAATTTTAAAAAACCAAGAGCTCCTAGGAGCTCTGTAACAATCAGGCACAACACAAGCAGACACATTTGCTGCACATGCAGAGAGCACCAAAGTTCTCATTTGCACTAATAAGAAATTTCAATAATGCCGAGACGGTGAAGCCAACCAACCTCACATTAATTCGAGTCTCATACATTGCATTGCAGCAAACAAAAAATTGCATGGATGATTCCTGGAAAATTGAGGATAAATACTCATAATATAACCAACATACTTGAACCATGAATCCCTTAATTATGCGATGGAATATAGATCCCTTGTAATGTAGAGGTTTCTCAGTAGTAATTCCAATGCCCTTCTCACCTGCAGAGATTAACACCAGAAAACAATCAGAGTCCATTACAAACTCAGTTCCAACCAAGAAGCGATTATCTCTAAAAGCCCAATAGAACAATAGCAAAGTTTCAATCAAATATTTGACAGAAACTAGAAATAGATATATAAAAGACGGCAAGCAGAAGAACAAAAGGTAATGTTTAATCAGAGACTGCAACAATTTCTTCCCTCACCCGCAAAGAAACAAAACCCTCCAAGTCTACAAAAGAAACTTGCAAGTCCAAATTGGCAGTTGATGTCCTATTGCAAATGTCATGAGTCCAGGTAACACTTACGATCATAAAAGGCAAAATGCTAATCTATTATATGTTTCTTATTTGACAAGAATTCTTTTCGAATTGAATACAGAGGATGTAAATGTTTGATGAGTTTTTTATTGGTTATCTCGGAAGAAACTTATCTAGCAAGTGGAACACAAATTTTCCAAACCTGCTTCTAACAGAATCCATCAGCTTTATAAATTTCAGTACAGAAGTCTTCACATAAAACTAAAAGTGACTTTTCTTCTTATTCTTCTCCTCCAGTATCTATATGACTTCATGACACTACTTATTTATTAGGGTTCAAGAGCCCCATCAACTTTTTTGTAAGATGGCTTTTGGAATTTTATTTTAAAAACACCATAACAACCATCAATGAGGATGCAATTAGTAAAAGATCAAAAATAGAGTTGCATTATAACGCGATTACAAATCCAATAACATTACATCATCCAGTGTGTCACTTTGAATAACAAGTAAACAAATACTTAATAAAACCACGAGTTTCAAACACATGAGTTGCATACTCCTAATCCCCAGCTTGGTTTGGGCAGCAAGAATGCTGATTTGATCAGGAACATTGCAGATCTAGCTTTTAGTCATCCAATTAAACAGAAGTTAAAATGAAAACTTTCATCCTTATAGAGTAAGCAGTGTTGGTTCCAGAAAACATAAAAGTAACAAAGGAATGGTATTTGTAGCCCCATTCAAGTAAGACATAGCAAGATACCAGTACAGAGTGCCCGAAAATTCTCAGCTGTCCTGGGGGCAACATCGGCAAAAAGCTGCATGTGTCAGAAAACAATGCTTCAGTAGCTAAACACAGAAATTGTCCCATAAAACCACCTGATAATGAGCAAAGAGCTCATGCGCAAAAAACAAGACTAAAGAAGTCAAAGTAAAGAAACAAAAAAAATTATAGAGTTGTTGTTACAAGTTACCTCAATAACAATCCTTTCCATAGGATCCCTATCAATTGATATGTCCAAGAATACGACTGGGTTCTTCTTATTCATCTCTCCCCAGATGCTGAAAAATTACCTTAATGTCAGCATATGTTTTCCCAACAACACAAAAGAAGCCTGTTTGTTGAATTTGACCACTATCTTATTCATATAGGTCAGACATGCTTCCGAGAAATAAGAAAACCATTTACCACAAATGTGTCTCTATGTCCTCCTTGTGATAAAATCATAAATCATGTCATTTTTTATTCAGGGAAGAGGGGGCAATAGTGAGGGGCTATGTCAAAAATATACATAATAAACACGGCCCATAAAACCCCAACTGTTCATTCGAGCTATATTACATCCCAAAAAGGGGCCAAGATAATGCATGAAACACCGCCATGATCAAATCTTTGAGCCACCAATGCATAAAGTAGATGCAACCCATAAACCTTAAACCCCAATTGATCATTCAAACCCAATCTAACACTACAAGTCTTGCTCCAAAACTGCCTAGAAAACGCACGAAACATGTGGAAAGATTGAATCTTTATGCAAACAGTCACAAATCAAAAGACCAACTCATAACACTCCAAACCCTAGTCGTCCATTGGAGCTATATTACAACTCGATAAGCATCTTTTGCTTGAAATTGTGGTTTCTACATGAATTGAAACCTCTGGAAGTCTTAAATTGAAAAAAAATATCACCTGAAGAGTGAAATCCTTAGAAGTTGCAAAAAGATCCACAAGAAAGAGAAAGAAAACGTAAGATGAGATGAATTCCTGTCGTACCTGGAGTAAGTGTATGTCGGCCTGAGTAAACAGGTAGTGAGGACTTGAGCCTCAGCGAGAGAGATCGGTAACGAACACCGTCAATGTCTAAGATAAAGAGAGAGAAGACCTCGCCGTCTGTACTTCGCACTTTCGCATATGTGAGTGTGTGTGCGTGTGTGTGTGTGTGAGAGAGAGAGCAGTGTAGTGTAATAACTGAGAGTTTCTTTCTTAATTTAATTCCTATTATCTTTCTTTTTGAAATATTGATTCNGCGTGTGTGTGTGTGTGTGTGTGAGAGAGAGAGCAGTGTAGTGTAATAACTGAGAGTTTCTTTCTTAATTTAATTCCTATTATCTTTCTTTTTGAAATATTGATTCGGAGTACGTGAACCCTGCTGCTTGTAGTTGAGTTTCAATAGACTGGGCCGGCCCTTTCCGGCCCACCAATCAACAGACTTAGTTTGGTTTAATGGACCAATTTTTTCCAAAACTAGGCCCACCAATCAACGGACTTAGGTTGGTCTAATTGACCAATTTTTTNATCAACAGACTTAGTTTGGTTTAATGGACCAATTTTTTCCAAACCTAGGCCCACCAATCAACGGACTTAGGTTGGTCTAATTGACCAATTTTTTCCACAACTTTTGGTCTGTGGTAGGGGCTTGGGCCAACTCTTCTGGACTAGCAAGTGAGTTATAAATGGGAGGCCCACCCAATCTATTACTGATCTACTATGCTAACAGACCATCCGATGGGCTTTGGGTTTTATGTCAAGCTTTATTTGGCAGACCTAATGGAGCTATATATATATTTATTTATTTTTTTTTACTTTTTTAGGGAATTTTAGAGGCCAGTCTTTGGTAAGAAACTTTTTGGACTTTAAATTCACTCAGCAAAGTAATAGGAGTTTAAAGACTCTTTGTGCTAATTTGTCTAAACTATCCCATCTCCCATTTTACCTCACATAACACTGGGTTTTTTATATCCAAAAATCCCCATTAGATATCACGTCATTGATAAATCACGCGTCATTCTGACATGAAAATACAACTCGTAATCGATTTACCAGACATTTGAAATTTGAAATACACCTCCCATAAATTCCTAATTTGTTTTGATTTCTTTTTTCACTTACATACCAAGTTGAGTTTCTTCGTCAACATCAATTTTCACCCACAAAATAACCCTACGCCTTTAACAATAAATTTCTCCGCTGACTGAATATGAGGTATGCATAATTTTTACAAAAATATCATCAATTCACATACTCAGAATTTACCATTACATACATTTTTGAAACGCACCAACTAAAATAAATAAACCGAACAACGTATATGAGTAGAGATGGTGTGTATATTCCTAAACCATAGGACTGCATTGAGTGCGAAATTTGTTCAAGGAAAGAAAGAAAGCTGGAGAAAAAATAAGAAAAAGAGTGACTTGTAACTCTAAATTTGTTTTGGACAAATGTACTAAACACGTATGAATTGCAATTTCATTTTGTGATATGGTGATTTGTTCTTGTAAATACACAGTTTTGGCACGAATGTACGAAGTTGATTTTTGTTGAAACAGGTATGTTAAAAATAAATCAGTCATTGACATGTTACACTGAAAAATAATAACATAAAAATAAAAAATAGTAACATTTCAAATCAAAGACAATTATACTGAAAAACAGTAACATGAACATAATTGTGACAAAAAACACTAACATTTAAAACAAAAGACAATAATATTAAATATAATATAATTTAAATAATAATGTGAACACAATTATGACAAAAAAATAGTAACATTTAATTTATTGGTACGTGTTCTTCGGTTGCCTCTCTTCGCTAAAGAATATAAAGTTGAAGAGAATTGTTTTTTTCTTTGTACACGTGTGTGTTGTTTGTGTGTCCAGTTTACTTGTGTTTTGTTTGTTAAGTTGAACTAATCATGCATGAGGATATGTTTGGTTTGATGGGAATTGATAGTTGTTTTGATGGTTGGATTTGGAATAGTGATTTTGAAGGAAATAGAGTTAAATTGTGATGATTGTAAATTGTAAATTTTAGTTCTTTGGTTGAATTTGCGTGTATAGATATGTGACTGTGAACGTTGATGTTACTATATATAAATGTTATTCTTGTTTGAAGTATGTAGTGATTAAAATATGGTGTTGTCTTTAATTTAGGTTAAGTAAGTTTTTCTTGAGATTAGTTATGCAATGATTTGTGTTGGGCAATGATACATACAATAAGATATATAAGCACCGTAGACAAATTGGGATTTCCTTAAACTCCTATCTTTAGTGGAAATTCCGCCAAAATTCTTTGAAAAAATAGCGAAGGCTCGATTGATTGAAGGAAAAATCATTCAAATTGACTGATTTTTTTAAGTGACAAAGTACTTTTAGATACGAATTATTACTACAAATACATATATACAAAAACACACACACATATCTGTATACACATCAAAATAAAAGAAGTGGTACTAAAAATGTTGTTAATTGCTTCATCCTATTGTATCTTTATGTTTATTTATATCTCACTCTGGGCATATATATGTTAAATTGTAGATTCTAACTCACTTAAACCATTTTTGGTATTTCTAGTGGTTTGCATGTTGAAGCATGGGCTACATTCACTAGAGTTAAAATGGCAGTTGCGATGGGTTTGCCATAAGTACATGTTTGCAAGGTGACTCGAAGGGTATTATTGAGGCAAACTTACGAAACGAGGACTTGTCGGAGATTGGATATTTTGTGGATCAAATTCATATTATTGCATAGAGTTTCATTCATTATTCTGCAGTATAGGTAAGACATTCTAGTAGTTGAGTTGCGCATAGCCTAACTAAATATGTGAGGTCTTGTTCTGAATGTATTATATGGCAAGATGTGGCACCAGATTTTTTGGTTCCCATCTTGCAAGATGAGATTACTATTTCTAATGAATGAATTTCCGTCGCATGGCAAAAAAAAAAACTCACTAAACCATTTTCCACCATTGAGAATGATCTCAGATTCTCAATCACAAGGAAACTAATACATGGAACCAACCAGAATGCTTTTGCAAAATATTAATTCAAAAGTTGAAAATAAGTTATTGAATTGTGTTCAACGTGTATGAGTGTCTGGATCTCTCATATCTTTTGCTGAAGCTTGGTGTTTCAATTGGTGTTTTCCTTAATTTGCCCTCAATAAAACTTAAAAAAGATGTTTTCAGAGATGTTTTTAGACAATTATAAGTAAATGGCCCCTTTTTTTTTTTTCTTTTTCCCCCTTCTTCTTCTTCTTTTATTTATTCTTTTGGATAGTTGGGAAAATTAAGACCTTGTAACTGAGACCATATGCATCATGATCAGTTATTCCAATATTGATAGAAAGTTCAGTTTTGTTTTTGAAGTTAAAAGAGTTCTGGATCCTGAATGTGATGGATTTAATATTTTCAAGGATTCTCAAGTTTGGTTTTGTTTATGAAACTGAAGGATTTTGAATCCTGAATATGATGGATTCTTTGGTATGGTTTATAGTATGACAATCTCACACATTCAACAGTTGTTCTTTTACCCAAAAGATCACCATCATCTTATTACCATGACTTGTCCNGGTTATGAAACTGAAGGATTTTGAATCCTGAATATGATGGATTCTTTGGTATGGTTTATAGTATGACAATCTCACACATCCAACAGTTGTTCTTTTACCCAAAAGATCACCATCATCTTATTACCATGACTTGTCCATCTGTTGGGTGATCACTTGTTCTCATTTTCCAGTTTTTACTCGTTCTTTGGGTGATTGAGTGAGATTTATGCTCATTGCAGTCATCTTCGAGGTTTTTTGCACCTGGATAATACCAAGACTTTTGTGTCCCCGATCCGGTCATGGAAAAAAGAGAGTCAGGTATGACAAAATTCCTAACTTGTTATGGTTCATTGATTAAGCTCATTCTTTTTATGCTAAAAAAGTTTACTAGCTCAAAGATTGAGTATAAAGTCCTTTCGTTATCGTACATCATAATTAGAATCAAGTCACGTTAATTTCTCATTTGCTATCATAATGTTAAACTATTTTTATGTACTAAACATATTCAAATAAAACTTCATTCTTTGAGGTCTATTNACTATAAAGTCCTTTCGTTATCGTACATCATAATTAGAATCAAGTCACGATAATTTCTCATTTGCTATCATAATGTTGAACTATTTTTATGTACTAAACATATTCAAATAAAACTTCATTCTTTGAGGTCTATTCTTTTTATGATTATTCTCTCCTTAAGGCGGTGTTTGATTTTTGTAC